AGCTTTTCTGAATGACACAATATATTTCTGCTTATCTTCACTTCCAACTGGTGACACTTGGAGACAAATTTAAACCAAAGCCCTAGTTCAGATGTTTATCCTTTCCTCACTGCAACATCAAAAAGCAATGATATATAGATAAGGTAAAGGTAAATGTTTCCCCTGTTGGAACGAACTACCCCCAGAAATCCGGACCTCACCCACTCTCATGTCCTTCAGAAAAGCTGTCAAGACCTGGCTTTTCCGGCAGGCCTGGGGCTGTTGACCTCATTGTTGAGGTCCAGCCCTGACCGAAACTAATGTATCTGTGTTGTTTTTAACTTGTCTATTTTATTTTATTTTATTTTATTGTTTTTCTTCCCCTCGCTGTGAGCCGCCCGGAGTCCTCCGGGATTGGGCGGCCTATAAATAAAATTAAAACTTGAAAACTTGAGATACTTGTCCAGTTGTGTCTGACTCTACTGGCTGGAGAATTCTGGGAGTTGAAGTCCACAAGTCTTAAAGTTGCCACGTTTGGGAACCACTGCTCTAGGGGTCAGTGCTCATCTCTGTAACTAAGCCAAGGGAGCCAGAGATTGTCCAAAGATGTTTCCACAGTCATGTGGTCAGCATGGTATCACACCGCAGCATAGAATGTGCCATAAAACACAGAATGCTGTTACCTTCCCACCGAAGTGGTACCTATTTATTTACTTGCATGTTCATGCTTTTGAATTGCTAAGTGGGCAGGATCTGGGACAAGAACGGGAGCTCGCCCGGTTATGCAGTGCTTGGATCTCAAACAGGAGCTGTCAGTTTTCCTGCTGACAATCTCAGCTTCTTAACTGCTGAATCATCGTACATATAGATATGTAATCACAAATCCTTCTCCAGAAACAGAATTTTGCAACAGATGAAATAATTTCCAGATGGAGTTAATTTATGTGTGTCAAATAGCAAATTAGCAAACACAACAATGCAGGCATTACATTACAACTACGGGAAACCTCGGGATATCGTGATCATTTATTGTGTAAGATTTTTCCAAATTTTCAAGAACTCTGGGGAGTCCCATAAGAGTTATTTCCTGCTTCTCAAGAAGTCTGTCCCTGCCAAATGTACTTGGACCCGTATCTAGTGCTTAGCCTAAACTGACTTTCCCAAGTGATCTAGCAGGTAATTTCATTGAGTTAGAAAACAGTCTTCATGTAAATTATGTCCCACCTGCATAAGAGCCGAGGTGGCGCAGTGGTTAGAGTGCAGTACTGCAGGCCACTTCAGCTGACTGCTATCTGCAGTTCGGCGGTTCAA